GCCAAAGTGGTTTGTGCCATTTGCCAAAAGCCCCGTGCGCCATTCTAAAAGTCCCTTGCACCATTCTTAAAGTCTCATGCGCCATTTACACATTCGTGCGCCATTCTTCTGCGCGCCATTCTCCGTGTGCGAGATTTGTAGCCGTGCACAATTCTAGGTGCTGAGACATTCAGTTGTGCGCTATTCTCTGTGAGACATTCTCAAACAGCTAAGGCCACAATTATATGAACCTTCTGCTCGAAGAACTTTACAAACTAAGACAAACCCTAAACAATCAACAGATCAGCCCGATCCAAAAGATGGATGCTCTTTCAATTGGAAATGACACTAGACCCCCGATCTTAAGGAGAGGTGAATACAATGTTTAGAAGAACAGGTTTCTTAACTTTCTCGAAAGCAAAGATCAATCTTCTAGTTTGCTGGATTCAATCACTAATGGACCTGCTCAGCTACTGATAGCTATTGAAAGAAATGATGAGAACAATCCACCTCTTGAAGTTGAGTTGCGACCGAAAACCGTTGACGAATATGATGATGAGGACCGAGCAAGAATCCGTGCTGACTTACTCGCGAAGACCTACCTGCTGCAAGCTACCCCGAATGACATCTACATGCAAATTGATAGCATGTCAACTGCAAAAGAGATGTGGGACGAAATCTTCAAAATTATGCAAGGAACTGAAATAGGAGTCAAAGCAAAGAAAGCAAGCACATTCACAGCATATGACTCATTCAAAGCAAAGATAGGAGAATCTTTTGAAGACACCTATCTCAGGGTTCCTACAACTGTTAAATGAAATGAGAAAGATTGGAGTTCACAAATCAAACATGGAGCTGAATGTGAGGTTTCTGTCGACACTTGGACCGGATTGGAGAAGGCTATGCTCTCAGATCAGGCATACAAAAGATCTTGATGATATGGACATCCATGCTGTATACAACACACTTGATCAATATGCTGAAGACTTTTCTGACTACGTTCACACAACTGTGATGGCTGAAAAAGGCAAGGATGCCGTTGACAAGCTAGCCGATACTCTTGCGCTAATGCTTGATAAACCCTCCAAATCTGGCTCCAAGAAGGATAAAATGAAAGCTGAAGAAAGTGAAAGTGCTGATAGCGACATCGGTTTCTGGGATGAAACTGATAATGATGATGAACTGCGTGAGTTTCAAAAGCAGATAGCACTCCTTACTTCCAGGTTTAACAACAAGATGTTGAAGAAGAACACATCCTCTAATAAGCTCCGAAAATCCTCCACCGGCACAAAAAGAAAAGAACATCCCTTTGAATCAAATGAGAGTGCAAATGCCGAGGATTCTCCCAAATGCTTCAATTGCGGGAAAATGGGACATCTAATCAAGGATTGTAGGATGTCAAAGAGAAGAAAGGATGCTGAGTACTACAAGCAAAAGATAAACCTGAACAAGAAAAAGATGCTGCTAGCAATGGAGGAAGGAAGTGAGAAAAGCGCCCTCATGGCTGAAAAGGATCATTGGATGGATGATTCACATGATGAGGAAAACATGGCACTGATGGCTATTGTTGAAAATGAAGAAGAGAAGACCATTGTTGCTGATGAGGATGCAGATTTGATCAACCCTTCTGTTGCTGATTTGATAACTATTCCCGATGCTGAAAAGGAAAGACTGGCTGCTCTTTCTGCTGAAAATCTGGATGCTAATTGTGAGGTAAGTACTCCTAACTCTTAAATTCAGCATGCTCTAAGATAGATACAAACATTATCAAAATTAAGGAGCTAGAAGAGAAACTTGATAATGTTCTTAATGTCAACATCAAACTGCTCGAAAGGAAAACAAGTTTAAAAATAAAGATAACCAACTGAGAGAAAACAATCACTAAACTCATAGCTGAGAACAAAAGATTGAGTGACAGTGAAAAGGAACTTAAGGAGAAACTTAGGGTCACTAAAAAGGAAAGAATCAAGTTTTTTGGTGAAAACAATTTTCTCAAAGAAAAAAGAGCTGCCCTTTATTCCAAATTAAAAGAACTTGAAGACCTGTTAGCTAAGAGAGATCAAACACACCAGACCATTTTCCTTAACCAGCCTAAGGACACTCGTTTCTATAACTCCAAGGAGGGCCTAGGATTGACCAACCCTCAGAATCTGAAAAAGGTCAACTGTGTTCAACTCTACGATGTTAAATACATGAGACTAGGATTGACCAAACTTATGACCTTCACTGGGGCTGAATAAACGAATGCCCTCAAGGATGAAAAAAGAAAGAACAAATCTGGTGTCGAGATCCCTTTTAACTATACAGAGTTAAACAAAAGTTACAATACCAAAGAACCCCCTTTGACCTCTGCTGATGAACTCTTGACTTATCCTCCTGAGAAGGAAACTGTAGGAGAAAGAGAGGAATCTTCCACCTCAGAACCTGTAGTCAAACCAGCATACATTCCACCTCGCATGAGGAAGTTTGCTGAGTTAAAAGAATCCTTTGATAAAGAAAAACATGTTTTATAAAAAAAAAAGAGCAACTTCTAAAAGAGATCATTTTTGAAAACATCCTTTCATTCTCACACAGTTTCTCAAACCTCCTCTCCCTCTTCCTTAGAAAAATCTGTTGAAAATTCTACCGATAGTAGTAAGACTCCCTCCACTCACTCTGAGTCTCCTTCTCCAACAGGGAACCATGTGAATAAGAGAGTCGAGAGAAGCGGAGAGTGGATTGAAGACAAAATAAGAAGAAGGAAGAGAGAAGAAGAGTCAAGAGTAGGAAATAAGAATCAGCGATTGTGTGCCCTTTTCTATTTCAAAAATAAGTCTAGTTTGAGCATTAGTAAGTCGTCTGCTAGTCATACTCGAAATGCTGTTCCTAGGACCTTCCTAAGTAAACCTTCAACTTGTTATGATAGTAGACCTGTCTCTAAGTTTTCTCATACCAAGATATCTGTCACCAATTGTTGTAGTAGCTGTGTTTCTCTAAATTGTGCTAGCTAATGAAATGTTGCTGTTTTGAGTCCACTTCCACTGTTAACAAAATAGATCCTATGAGTGCTAAAGAAAATCTGAAAAAGCCTAAGACTGAGAAAACAACTGTTGAGGGGAAATTCAAACTTGTTTTTCTAAAGTATCCCCTCAAGGTTAATTCAGCTAAACATCTGAAATGGCTCTCACAGGAACCAATTTTGAAGGATCATATATCCGAAATTTCTGTTGCTTCAAAGACCAAACAAATATGGGTTCCCAGGGCTAAGGCTGAGCAATTATAACTAAAAAACAATTCTCAAACAGCCGGTTTTGGATCCCAAATCAAAACGAAATTGAAACAACTGTTCACTATTGATAAGGAAGGACCCATCTTCCGATGGGTACCTAAGCGAAACTAATCTGTTTTGCAGGTCAGTCATGTGTGGCATCTTGATTCTGGTTGCTCGTCACACATGACTGGACAAAAGGAACTCTTGAGCAACTACTCTGAAAGATATGGAGGAAATGTGAGGTTTGGGAACAATGCTTCATCGCCCATTCTCGGAATAGGAGATGCCATTTGTGAAAGTGTCACGATCAGAAATGTGTCGTTTGTGCAAGGACTAAAGCACAACTTTCTTAGCATTGGCCAATTTTGTGACAATGGAATGGAAGTGAGATTCCATGCTAAGCAATGATATGTGATGGATATGGGCGGGAAACCATTATTAAGGTGTCAGAGGAAAACCAATCTCCACACCATCGATCTTAAAACAGTCCGATCTCGCATATCCATCTGTCTCTTGTCCAAGGCATCTCAGGAGCAAAACAATTTATGCCACAGCCGTCTCTCACACTTGAATCTACCTGCTATATGTTCCCTCTCCTCAAAGAAGCTTGTGAAAGGAATGCCTATACTGAAGAACTCACCCAATCACAACTGCTCTGCTTGCCATTTGGGTAAGATGAGGAGCGCATCACACAAGTCAAAGCAATTTCCCTCCTCATCTCATCCCCTGGAGCTACTACATATGGATCTGTGCGGTTCGATGCGTGTTCAAAGCATCAATGGACGCAGATATACTTTGGTAATTGTGGATGACTACTCACGCTACACATGGACCAAGTTTTTGTGATCCAAGGACGAGACTCCAAATCTAATCATGACATTCATCAGGACCATACAGAACTACCTGCGGCAGAATGTGAAAATAGCCAGAACTGACAATGGGACAGAGTTTAAGAACAAGGAGTTGGCCGATTTCTACGAAGCTCAAGGAATTACTCAACAGTTCTCTACAGCTAAAACACCACAACAAAATGGTGTAGTAGAAAGACGGAACATGACACTGGTGGAAGCAGCCAGAACCATGCTGATACAATCAAAGCTTCCTCACTTCATGTGGGCTGACGCTATCAACACAGCTTGCTTTACTCAGAACATGACCATAATCCACAAAAGATTGGATAAGACCCCCTACGATATTGTGTTCAAGCGACTCCCAAACATCGCCTTCTTCCGTGTCTTCGGTTGCAAATGCTACATTATGAATGACAGGGATGCTAGGGGAAGCTTGATCCAAAGGCAAATGAAGGTATCTTTATTGGATATTCTACTAACTCAAAAGCCTACAGAGTGTACTTGAAAGAAAGAAGAACCGTCATGGAGAGCATCAATGTGAGCTTCTATGAAATGGCGGATATGGCTTCTGAGCATTTCCAATTTAAACCAACAATCTCTAAAGGAAACCAGACTCAATCATCTTCTGGAATAGGAGAATAGGAAAGTGAGAAAAGATCGGATGAGCACGTGATACTGGACTCTTTATTTGAGCACTTCTACAGCCAGCCACGTGCATCACCAACTACAACTCCTACTACTGCTCAGCCTTACCCGTTACCTGCTCCCACAGCAGAAGAATCACATACTCGTGTCCATAACGATGATGAGCATGCACATGAACAAACTCCATCTGATCCTCCTACTCCGCAGAATGAACAACCAGAACAATCTACAGCACACGAAACTCTTGAGACACAACAAAGCAACGAGTATACTGACTCTGATCAACCAGTCATAACTCCACTACCTCTTCTTTTTTTGGATAAAATGTAAATATATATATCCATAAAATAGCATAAGTACAATGCACAAAAAAAACTCAAAAATAACTATCTAAGCTAGCAAGCTAACCTAAAATAGTATCTATCATATCCCCCCCCCCCCCCCCCGCTTGCGGAGGGAGAGAGAGTTTTTTTTTGGGAAATCATCCACCAAAATATCAAAACTAGCACGGGACAAGCCTCGACAAGTGTCCAATCCAGTCCAACAAAAATCCAATACATCAAAAAAACAAATCATGTAAACTGGGCCAGAAACTAATAAAAGCCCCAAGACCCAGCAATGCATCACAGTCCACAAAAAGTCAAAGCATCCATGGATCCAGCCTAATTAAAGGACATCCTCCTTTCTGAATCAGCCCAAGGCAAGTCGGCCCAAGCCTCCAAAAGCGTCCATCCGCATCGGCCCATTCCAGTAGCTAGTACATCCGCATATGCAGCTAGGGTTTGCTACAGCAGTCCAGAGCAAGAAGCCGCACCGCATCCAAATTTGAAATTCAAATTCGACGAGGTGACAAGCTGTACAACCGTACCCTGCCCACCTGTCAGTCCACCTATCCGTCAATGCAAGCCCACCCCCCAACCAACCACCCCACCTAGGTCTGGCGACCGGAGGAAAGGAAAAACCCAGCCGGAGAAGTAACAGCTGCCAACCCGATGTCCCCCATCTCACCCCTCACCCCCGTTGAGCCCCGGCGACCCTCAACGGCGTTGATGTGAGAAAGCACGGTGGTCAGTTCGGCAGTAGCCGGAAAAAGAACTCATCCCCTGTCCAAGCCCCCCCACCTGGTCCGGCGACCCCAGGCTTTCCGGCGACCAGCGACTAGAGGCAAAACAAACAAAACACCAAGTCGGAACAATAACCAAAGCCAAACCGACGATCCTCAACCCTCTCCCCACCCCCGTTGAGCCCCGGCAGCCCTCAATGACGTTGGTAGACAGCGCTTTGAGGCGGAATGACAGTAGCCGGAAACCACAGTAGGAAAAAAGCACAACGATGGGCGGTTCCAACTCCCCGTGGTCGGTCGTCTTCTCCGGCGAAACCCATACGTCACCAAGCAACACAAAAATCCAGACAGGAGAGTCAAGTTGGAGCGCCCTCATTCACGAAGGGTAAACTCCTACCTTCTTATCCGGCATGAATACGAGCCAGTTGTCTTCATCGGCCAACCACCCCAAACCCAGTACATAGCCTTGCAGGAGCTCCTTTGCGCACCAGACCCCTCACCACACCTTTCGTCACCAAATCATAACTCCCAGTCTCATGGCCGTCAATCAGTGTCCATTCCACTACGAACCAGAGGGTTCTCCAATGAAGAAAATCAACAGTTCAGCAAATCACCATTAAATCCGATGAAAAATGAAACAGATTTCCAAAAAACCTTCGACCAAGCACCTTGAAGTCACCGGAGCCAGGAGGGCTCCGACGGCGGCGACCACCGCGAGTGGCGGTGCCGAAAGTAGTAGAGCAACCTAGAAGAGTTCTAGTGAGAGAAACAGCTCTCAACTCACACTACCCGACGCTGGTTTCCCACTACCTCTTTCTCACGAGAGAAGGTGGACGAAAGCACATCCGCCAGAACTGATAATCGGTGATCCATCATGAGGAGTCTGTACCAGAACCGCATCATTCAATGAATGCTTATACTCATGTTTTCTGAATCAGAAAGAACCTACAAAGATGACTGAAGCATTGGCTGATCCGAACTGGATTGTTGCGATGCAAGAAGAGATAAACCAGTTTGAAAGAATGAAGGTGTGGACCCTGGTGCCGCGGCCGTACAGAAAAACCATTATCGGCACCAAATGGGTATTCAAAAACAAGAAAGATGAAGACGGTGTGATAATCAAGAACAAGGCCCGCCTGGTAGCAAAAGGATACAATCAACAAGAAGGAATCGACTATGACGAAACCTTTGCACCAGTGGCGAGAATTGAGGCCATAAGACTGTTCCTTGCATATGCCGCACACAAAAGCTTCACTGTTTATCAAATGGATGTCAAGACTGCATTTCTCAATGGTGATCTAAAGAAGAATTTTTGTTGCACAACCTGAAGGCTTTGTTGATCCTGAATGCTCCAATCATGTATATAAGCTGAGAAAAGCCCTGTATGGACAGAAACAAGCACCGAGAACCTGGTACAAAGCACTATCAGATTTTCTTGTGGAATCAAGCTTCTCGAAATGAAAGATTGACCCAACTCTCTTCATCAAATGACACAAGGGTGACATCATGCTGATACAGATTTATGTGGACGACATCATTTTTGCCTCATCAAATCCAAATTTCTGTTAAAAGTTTAGCAATCTAATGCGCACCAAGTTTGAAATGAGTATGATGTGAGAGTTGAGCTTCTTTCTCGGGCTTCAGATCAAGCAAATGCCAGACAGAATATTCATCAACCAGTCCAAATACATCCACGACATGATCAAGCGCTTCAAAATTGACAGCAAGTCAACGATGAAAACCCCGCATGTCTCCCTCACAAAAGCTCGACTCTGACCCTTCCGGGAAATCAATCGATGCTACCAATTATCGGGCTATCATCGGTTCCTTGTTGTACCTTACATCTAGCAGACTGGACATTGTCTTTGCAACATGTCTCTATGCACGATTCCAAGAAAATCCTAAGGAGCACATCTGAATGCAGTGAAGAGAATACTAAGATATATGAGAGGAACAATTAATCTAGGCCTTTTGTATCCCAAGGAATCAGGTTTCGACCTTGTGGGATACACAGATGCTGATTTTGCGGGTTGCAAACTGGACAGAAAAAGTACATCTGGCGGTGCTCAATTTCTAGGTGAAAAGTTGGTGTGCTGTTCTTCTAAAAAGCAGAATTGTGTGTCCACTTCTACAGCTGAGGCAGAGTATGTCGCGGCTGCTAGTTGCTGTTCACAAATACCTAGCTGAAAGATTACGGGTTCACATTCTCACACATCCCGATCTATAGCGACTCTCAAAGTGCAATTTCCATCACGTGTAATTCTGTCCATCATTCACGGACGAAGCACATTGACCTTAGATATCATTTTATCAAGGATCACGTTGAGAAGGGCACCGTGGACATGTACTTTGTGTCCACGAAATTGCAACTGGCTGATATATTCACAAATGCCCTGGATGAGAAGAGATTCAATTTCCTGATCTCTAAGCTGGGGATGTTGAACCAGAATGAATGAGTAACTCTGATTTGTGTGCGTACGTGTGATTTCATTTTAAAAACATTTTTCAAAAATTTGCATTTTTATTTTTTTCATGCATCTCATTCTTATTTTTCTCTCTCACATGGATCATTTTTTTAAGTTAATTTTTTTAATACATAAATCAAGGGGGAGTCTCATAAATATTCATTGTGAAAAGAAGCAAGTGCTGAGGGGGAGCGTTTATTTTTTTTGTGAAAACTAATACATATCGGCCCGTTAACCTTTTTGTTTCTGGGCCTAGCTACTTAAATCCCAAAACTAATACATATCGGCCCGTTAACCCTTTCTTCCTCAGAGTTTCGCTCACCCCCTTTTTGGATCTCAAGTTTTTTCTCATCTCTATCAAACGGTATAAGTTTCATTCTCTCTCTTCAAAATATCTGCTTCACAGGTTCAAAGTATATGCAAGGACGATGAACAGGTGCGCGACTCTAGGGCTGCGCGATTCTAGGGATGCGCGATATGACCCAAGCACCATTTGGGGTCATGCGCAACACCCATGCGCAATTTGCTCTAAGCGCGATTCTATACATGCGCTATTTGTCCCATGCGCTATTTAGGGTCATTTGCTATTTGAACCTGATGCGCCATACCCCATGCGCAATTCCCTCCTGCTCAATACTCATGCGCCATTCTGAGATGCGCAATTACACCATGCGCTAATTGGGGCACGCGCGAACTGTTTGGGCTACATTCTAAGTATGTCCAGCCCAATTTACAACAACAATACATCACATTTCTATGAAGGGTCCACATAATGAAAAAATCGGAAACGTTCAAAGGGCCCAATTTCAATAAAAAAACAATAAAAAAACAAAAAAAAAACACACAAAAAAACAAAAAAGGGCCCACATTATGAAAAAATCGGAAACGTTCAAAGGGCCCAATTTCAATAAAAAAAACCACAAAAAAACAAAAAAAAAACACAAAACAAAACAAAAAAGGGGCCCAAATTATCAAACCCTGATCACAATAGAGGAAAATGGCCCCAAATCTTCAAACTCTTGTGATCGGTATAGATGTGACACAACTCTCCGTAGAGGTAATGCCCCCAAATCTTCAAAGCAAACACCATCGCACCTAGCTCAAGGTCATGTGTGAGGTAATTTACCTCATGCTTTCTCAACTGTCGAGAAGCATAAGCAATTACCTTCCCTGATTGCATCAGTACGCATCCAAGCCCCTGGATACTAGCATCACTGTAGATGTCATACCCTAACCCTTGCACGGGTAGGGCAAGCACTGGTGCTTCAATCAAACGTTTCTTTAGCTCAAGAAACTCCTTTTCACACTTGTCATCCCACACAAACTTAGCCCCCTTTTTAGTGAGCTTCGTGAGTGGAGATGCTATCACCGAGAACTTCTCCACGAATTTGCGGTGATACCCCTCTAAACCGAGCAAACTCCATATTTCCTTCATATTCTTGGGCCTCTCTCAATTAGTGACTGCTTCAATGTTCGAGTTATTAACTGAAATGCCCGATCCTGATACCACGTTCCCGAGAAAGCCGATCTTCCCAAGCCAAAATTTCACATTTAGAGATTTTGGCAAAGAGTTGCTTCTCCCGCAGTGTTTCAAGCACAAGTCTTAGATGTTTCTCGTGTTCTTCTTCATTCATGGAGTATATCAAGATGTCATCTATGAATACAATGACGAACTGGTCCAAGTATTGGTGAAATACTCGGTTCATGAGGTACATGAATGTCGCGGGGGCATCCGTAAGCCCAAACGACATTACTAGGAACTCATAGTGACTATACCTTGTACGGAATGCACTTTTGGGTATGTCACTCTCCTTGATCTTTAGTTGATGGTAGCCCGACCTCAAGTCAATCTTGGAGAACACGGTTGCTCCCCATAGCTGATCAAACAAGTCGTCAATCCTTGGTAAAGGATATTTGTTCTTTATCGTGACTTTGTTCAACTGACGGTAGTCGATACACATTCTCATTGTACCATCCTTCTTCTTTACAAAGAATACGGGTGCCCCCCATGGTGAATGACTCGGTCTAATGAATCCGTTATCTAGTAGCTCTTCTAGTTGAACTTTCAACTCTTGAAGTTCGGCCGGTGCCATTCGATACGGAGGAATTGAGATGAGTTTTGTGCCTCGTTCCACCTCGATCACAAACTCGATCTCTCGATCTGGTGGGAGTCCCGGGAGTTCCTCAGGGAAAACTTCTGGATACTCACTCACCACCCTTACTTCTGTGAGACTCTTTTCTTTGCCTTCCTTGCCTATGACATAGGTTAAGTAAGCCTGATACCCCTTTCTCATCATTCGCCTCGCCCTTATGGCCAATATGATACAAGGGTTGAATTTTCCTCTTTCTCCCTCAAAGCATAGAGTATTCCCTTCACCATCCTTTAGTTCTAACACTTTGGTGTAGCAATCTACTTTTGCATGGTGTTTTTCAAGCCAATCCATGCCTAGTATAGCATCGAACTCGAGCATGCCTAACGATACAAAGTCACCCATTAGACGGTGCTCCCCTATCTCCACATTACATGAAGGATAGTAGTGTTTCCTCTCCACATCGTCACCCAACGGTGTAGAGACCAACAACGGTTGCGCCATTGCTATTAATGGTATGTCCAATCCCTCGGCAAACGCTTCGCTCATAAATGAACGTTGCGCCTCGGTGTCGATGACAATTCTCGCGTGTCTACCATTGATCTTTAGTGTCCCTACATATATAAGTCATGTAAGACACATTACTTAACGTCCCGACTGAAAAGGACTTAGCGAAAAATTTCGGCTTAGGGCTACTCTATACTCGGTCGGGTAGGACCCTATACCTGGTCGGGTATAGCTCGAGTCCTTAAGGAAAAACTTCCTGTCAACCTTGCCCAGCCGAGTACACACCTTGAACCCGTTCAAACTACCTATACCCGGTCGAGTATATGAATATACCCGATCGGGTATTACTCGAATCTTTAAACAAAAAGTTTCCTTCCGATTTTGCTCGGTCGAGTACACACCTCGAACCGAACAACCCATCTATACCCGGTCAGGTATATGCCCATAGCCAGTCGAGTATCACTCCAAGTTTTAAGCAAAAAGTTTTAAGCAACATCGTTCGATCGAGTACACGCCTCGGAAATAAAAATTTTACTCATACTCGATCGAGTATATAACCATACTCGATCGGGTATGGCTGGAATCGTCAAAAGTGAAAAGTCCTGTCAAACTCGCTCGAACGAGTACACACTTTAGAACTTAAACTAAGCCCATACCCGGTTGGGTCTATAGAGGTACCCGATCCCCTCATACCTACTTTGTGAAGATTTTACCTCTAATGAATGAATAAAACACATGTGAAGTCGGGAGGTTACCTGCAATGGAGTCCGGGTTGGCCCGAGCATCTG